CATCCGACAACACAGGAATGGTTCGGCGCGGCCTGCACAAACTGAACGCATAATGTGGGATGTAACTTCCGCACCACTTCACAGATTGGGTGGCATTTTCATTTCGGCCCGGATACACCGATTCTGCGATAAGGCCGTGTGACGCCGGGCACACAGCTCTGACGTAAAGCGTAACATTAACATGACATAAGTGCATCTCATTTTTGAACAAGTCCATGCACAGGAACACGGCCCGCTTATGAATGGCGCTGTCGTCCTGGTCTGCAAGAGATGGAAATGACAATACCCACGTCAGCTTGCTCGAGACGCCGTCAGTATCCGGCCAGCGGGGGTCTGGAAGCACTGAGTAAACTCATGAGAAAGCTGTCTCCGTGCCCCAGATTCTAACCGAGCACAGTTCTGGAAAAGCTGATAATTGTTCAGTTGGTCATGAACGTGATCCGCCTTCCCAAGGGCCCCTCACCGGACCCTAAACCACATGGTCCATATTTCTACAGCTTCACGTCCCAGCCATCTCTCCTTCTTGTTTTGGCCCTCAGAAGGGTTATCGGCCCTTCCGGCAACACAGCGGGACTGTGCGCGAAGGTCTGCCTTCAATCCCAGGTCACTTCATGCAGAACTTAAGGTGGACACAGTGGCTGATGTCCTCCGAGTACTTTGGTTCCCCCTGCCAATTTTAATCTATCATCCGAGGTGGTACAATGAGCCATTTACGCCCCGAGTACCAAAGGTCTCACCCCACCCTAAGAACAGGAACAAATGACTGACAGCTTGCCCGCGCGGTTTGTCACGCCGCTGCCCTATTAATCCACAGACACGTGCTAACACTTTTGTATATTTACGAGCTTTCCCTACATCAGCGCTCGCACAGAAAGTGAATCTGGATTATGCGGTTGCTTGGTCCATATGTCAATCTGAGCGCTATCATACGCCTCGGAGTTTTGAAGGTGAAATCCATATTCTATTAGATGAGCCCTTGCTGCATAATCTCCCGTGTAACGAGCATGAGGCAAGAGCGTCTTAACTCGACCTGGCTGTCCACACATTCATAAGTTCCAGCACTTTCGGTATTTGCCTCGGAAACGGGCGCTGGGGAGGGGGGGTTTCGAGCTCACATGCCTGGGCCTTCATGAACGGATTCAATGAAACACACGCAGAAGTTTGAGGACTCGCAGAGAGCGAGCAGGACGTCTCGATATACAGAACTCCCCAGTGGTGCCTGTTAAGGCGATATGCACGTGCTGGTAATGTTCTAAGTGCGACTGGAATCCTCATGCACATTTCTTTGAATTGCACGCGTAAACTTTCAGTTCTTTGCTTCTGTGAAGCTTACAGTGTCATATTGACAGGGAAAGCAACCAACCCCCGGCGAAGAACGGGCACTTCCGCATGTACACAACATGCGTTCCATAGCGTGCTGAGATGTCTGATCTCAGACTTATCAGAAGCCTACAAACGACAACGCGTGTGAGAGAGTGGAGGTACAGCTCCACCATTGCTGACCTCAGCACTAGATGGAGGAGAAGGTTCAGCTTCAGCCCCGGGGAAAGAGTCCCTGGGTGTCCATCAGATACGAGGCGGGGTTGGCCCCAGAGTCGGTACAGACAAAGGTTTTGCTCCTGCTGGGATTCGAACCCAGGCCTTCCAGTCTTTAGCCTGTAGCTTTACCGACTAAGCTATCTTGGCTGTTTTCCCGCAGCGTGCTGTGTTGCAGTTCGGTAATGGAGGCGGGCGAGGCAGAGGTGGGCAACGGCCGGTACCAGGTTCGCATCTCAACGGGAACAGCGCCTACCATGAACAATTAAGTTCAGTTATTCAGTATTGGGGGGGGTTCCCCATGCACCGCGACTAATAGTCTATTGTACGTCCCCCTTTTAATTTCTACTGTCTCCATCCCCTGCCGGTACTGGTGCTCGCTATCAGTCCCTCCTCTGGCAGTGGTACCTAATACTTCCCCATCTACCGGAGGCATTGGAAACTACTTGGGCGGGAAACTTTTTGGCCTAATTTAGCTCAGAGGTCTCCTAGACACACGAGGTTCTTTTACGTGCCGTAAATCTACGACACGGGACCCACGGCTTAAAATCCCTCCCGCAGGACTTGTTCCCTGAATTTTTCCGCCCTTAAAAATTCCACGACCTCCGCCGGGTTTTTGAACCCGCGTAGCTTGAGTCATGAGGTGGGAACGTTACCCCTAGACTATGGAGGCCGCTACCACGAACAATGGATTTCATGGTTTTCTTCAGTCCTTCCTGGTGAATACTGAGATAGTGCTCAGAAATAGGCCATGACTATTTCATTGAATATCTTTTCAAGTTCACAGAACTGCTACAGTCAATACAGTGTCGTTAAGGAACGTGCAACAGTCAAGCGTCTGTTGGGCCAGCATTAAACTTCAACTTGAGTTGTTCATGGACAGATGGACATGATGAAATTAACAGCCAAAAGCATACAGGTGTGTGGGTTCGTACCCTGAAGCTGGCAGAGGAGAGGCGGCACCTCAACACCTCTCCCCCCTCCTTAGCATGTGGCCTCCGTAGTCTAGAGATAACGTTCCCACCTCATGACTCGTGGTACGCGGGTTCAAATACCCGACGGGGGTCGTCGAATTTTTAAGGGCGGAAAATTTCAGGGAACAAGTCCTCCGGGAGGGACTTTAAGCTGTGTCCCGTGTCGTAACTTTACGGCATGTAAAAGAACCTCATATCCCCAAAGGGGATCACTGAGCCAAATTCCAGGACGTTTCCCGCCCAACAATAGTCTCTAAGGCCTCTGATAGATGGGGGAAGCATTATAGACACCGCTAAGCAAGTGGCCGAACTCGCTTGCTCGGCGGGACTGATGGTACGCACCATTTATCGGTAGGGTATAGAGACTGGTAGAATATCATAGAGGGAAGCACAATAGATCAAACTGGTCGCGGTGCATGGGGAAACCCACCTTCTCTAAATAACTAACTAACTAACCCCTTAGCATTTTAGAGGAAACAAAATTTGAATAAACAACGGAACATATCAAATACTAACACAAAATTAAATGGTCATTAAGCGAATTGTGTTCCATACTGAATACAAAGGCGTTTAATACATCCTCAACAAACCCAACTGCAACACAAGTCCATAAGTGAATCATCCGGCTTCATCCCAGTTGCCTCACAGTGGATGCCATTTACATGAACGTCCCACAACTCGCGCAAACACTTGGCCATATGAAGTCCACCCCTTAAGCGGTAGTTCTTTGTATTCTGGGGACAGGGGGTCATGGTCTTCCTCAGTCCTTCCACGCAAATGCTAGGATAGTATCTCAAGCTACGCCATGACTGCATGCCTCCATATCCTTTAAAAATCATTTTTCAGTACAAATGACTGCACCATTGCGCGAAATATAAGTACATAAATGAAGCCAATTTTAATATTTCAACATTCAGTTTGTACCTCACAGGAAACACATTACATCTCCATAACAACGACGAACTGGTTAGTTCTGTTTGGGGAAAGAGTTGCTGTTTACTGTGAGAATCATACAGAACGCATAATTAATACACTCTGTTGGCAGAAGGCAATTTATGGATGTTGAGGTGGTGGTACATATAGTTACCACTGTACTCTAAATGTTAATACTTGTCACAGACAGGCCAAATCACACATAATTTAATTACTACATTCAAATCAAAGACACCGAGATGGACAGCACAAACAGCATATATATATATATATAGTGTCCCAGGGAGAAAGGTCAATATTCTGGGAGGTCATAGTATCAGTCATTCAAAGCAAAAAAAGTGTGTATGTACATGTGTCCTATTCTGAACCGTTTCCGACATAGAGCTGTTTCGCTGTACACACGAGCAACGCCATGTCCTCACACGAATTGCAAAGTGCGTTGATGCTGATGATGGAATTTTCAAAAATATATTATGCCAGGTAAACTGCGCCAACTTTGCCGCTTTAACAATAAATACCGGTATAAAAAACCTTTCCTATCGAGAGTTTTGGAACTGTACAGCGAAATAGCTCTACCTCAGAAACTGTTCGGAATTGAAGTTGTGTACATATACACATCTCTGCTTAGAATGACCAATACTTGACTTCCCAGAATACTGACCTTTCTTCCTGACGCACCCTGTAGATATGTCACAAGCAGTGCATATAAAACTTTTGCCAGAAAGTCCAGAGGGACGAGATCACCTGGAAGACCTTGACGGAGATGGGAGAATACTATTACATTTACTTACTTACTTACTAATGGAGCTGAGCCCTTCTGAAGAAGCCGCCAATTCTGCAGCTATTCAAGAGAATCCCAGCATTTTATGTAACCCAAAGGTTCATTACCATGTTCACAAGAGCCTGCCACTGGTCCCTATCCTGAGCCAGATCAATCCAATCCATCCCATCTCTGTAAGATCCATTTTAATACTGTCCACCCACCTACGCCTTGGTCTTCCCAGTGGTCTTTTCCATCTGGCTTTCCCACCAATATCCTATATGCATTCATGTTCTCCCCCATTCGTGCTGCATGCCATGCCCATCTCACCCTCCTTGACTTGGTCATTCTAATTATACTTGGAGAAGAATACAAGTTATGAAGCTCCTCATTATGCAGTTTCCTCCAACCTCCTGTCACTTCATCCCTCTTCGGTCCAAATATTCTCCTCAACACCCTGTTCTCAAACACCCTCAGTCTATGTTCCTCCCTTAATGTCAGAGACCAAGTTTCACAATTATATAGAACCCCAGGCAGAATTATAGTTATGTATATTCTAATGTTTATGTTTTTGGACAGCAGACGAGAAGACAAAAGGTTCTGGACTGAATGGTAGCAAGTTTACCCGAGTTCAATCTCCTCTTAATTTCCTCCTGAATCAGGTTTTGATGTGTTGTTGTTGTTCCCAAATATCTGAAGTGTGCCACATTTTCAAAACATCTGTTTCCTACCTTTATATCATGATTTTGCCCTGCATTTTGGTGACGAGACAGCAACATGTACTTAGTTTTCTCTGAGTTTACTACGGTAATTAAATTAAAATGGACTTACGTTCAGGTCCAAGCACTGTAATTCCCTTTCCTGTTGTAATTATAATGCTCCTGGTGTGTTGGTTCGTGAAGTGCAGAAGGTAAGGATTTACTGTTAGTTTGGAAAGAACTGGACAGGATGCCTGGAAAAATTAAAGACCTATAAGAAGCGCTGATGTTTAACTGAAATATTACTCTGCTGCAAAAAATAAAGTTCTGTACTGAAACTTACATTGTTCATTGCAGGCACACAGAAGCAACATTGCATGATTACTAAATGGTTTGGACATGTCTTGTGGTCAAACTTAATATGGACTAGCCCGATCGATCAGGCCAGCTTAACAGGTTTCACCTGAGGATGGAGACAGAATCCAGTCTCTGAAACGCTTTTTAAACTAAAATGGAATGATGGATAATGTTCAGAGACAAAATATTTGTACTAATTCTTTTTGTTCAAGAACACATGGAGGGGTATAAGGGGTATAACACTGAGGGGTATAAGTATCTTTATATCTCACAGAAGAGTAAATGTGGGGGTGGGGGAACAAACAGACAGCTCAAGGGTTTTGTATTACTTCTATTACATTTTTTTAACATTATAACAATGTTCAGTAAAGAATAAATAAATGAATGACTAGAAACTTAAAACATTCACAGCAAAATACATTCAGAATGTTGACTTTGTTGCCGTGATGAAGAATCTGCCGATGCATTGTGACGCTATGTGCTTCTATAGGCATACGAGTATACTGACATCTGACAGTTGATTATGTGGAGGGTGAAGAACCTGTTGGTTTGTATGGGCAGGCGGTGACGAAGATGGTCAGACCCACAGGACAGAGCAAGGAATGGGTGTTTTTAGGGCCATCACAGAAAGTGCAACTGTGAGAAAAGATGGCACCATGTTCCTCCAAAACTTCAGTATCTGCCTACATGACCAAGCAGTGTCACCACCCATATAACCACACAGTCCTTCCACCGCACACACGACCGAAACACTGAGAGACCTGATGGTTGCGTGGCATATTAGAATGATGCACCTCCTTTCATAGCAAAGTACTGCCACCATCCTCAGGGTCTAAGTAACACTACCAAACTTCATGGAGTCACACGCAAGATATGACATACATTCCAACACATGACAGTAGTCTCAAAACACAGTAAACAGAGGCCCAACTGGTGGTATGATTCACTTAAAAGGACAGCTGACTGACAGCATAATAAAGTCACCCTACCACAAGCACAGAGGTTATGCAAACCAGAATCACAGAAAAACTTGGAAACAACAGAAACCATAGAACTTTCAAGAAAAATCAATGATTCCCATACAAACTGTACAATGAATGACTTTAAAGGCAAATTTGCAGCAGTGATTATGTCAATAACGAGAATACTCGTTATGTGACATGCTGGTCAGCCTCCAGATGATGTACCTGCTCCTCACCAGTGGCTGAAGAGGACAGGACACACACCAGTCGCCACCAACATTAAACATACACAGCGTACACGTGACGATCTGCCTTACGAGTTCGATTTGGTTCATCCTGGTCCGTCACATTAGCAATATTACAAAAGGTTAATCAGCTCCATTTATCTCCTTTCTGATCTTTCATCCTTGACATGTTTCGGTTCTCCTTTTTAGTCTTTCATCTTTGACACGTTTCTGAAGATGGTCTCTAAGACCGAAACATGTCAAGGATGAAAGATCAGAAAGGAGAGAAGGAAGAAAACATTTTACCAGATGCACAGAATGGAGCTGATTAACCTTTTATAACAATGCCTTACATGTCTGTTCCATGTAAGTTTCCCAGTAATTAGAATGAAGATGCAAGGGGGGGAGAAGAGGTATAGCTCCCCATTCTTGGCATCGGCACTATATGTGAGTAGCCAGCTTCAAGACCCAGTCGCTTTACCACTGGTACCAACTGCAGAGGCTGGGTGTGCTGCAAAGCCTGTCTGGACACTGTGAAGCAGAGAAACATCTCTTGTCCCTGTTGGAAACTGGACCCAAGCCATAGCCTGTCCCTGTACTGACACTGCTACCAACATTACCTTCTCCCTTTTCCCTCTTACAAGCCCCCATTTTTCTGTTCACCATCCATATCCGCAGCTTTGAGTATGGTTTCAACATATTCCTTCAAATGCCCCTTGGGACAATGTCCACGCAGAAGACACCTCAGTTGTTACCAATTCTCTTCAGCAATGGACCAAGGGTCTGGTCCCTGTTGTTACCTCAGACTGCAGCAGGCCTGCAGGCACAACTAGGCCCCAGCTGTGCTCAACTGCTATTGTGACTTCAGTACCTCAGATGAACCAACTGACCTCAGCACCATGTTCACCACTGGTATGCATGGGAACCACCACTCCACTTGTGCTGTGGTGCACATCAGCCAGACTGGAGCTGAGAACTGCAAGAAACATTTATTACCAACCTGTCCCTGTACTTAAAGTGCCGTCACAAGGAACATGGGCAAGTGAAGGCACAAACTGACACATCCTCAACTCCAGCACTACATGAGGTGTGAGATCAGCTTCCCCTATGGAAGGCAGATGCTGCAAGCCACAGACAAAGAACAGAAAAAGTGGGAAATAATAAAGAGACTGCTTCAAGCCCCAATACAACTACTTACATTATATTATACAGACGAACCTCTGTGACAGACCAGTTGCCACCTTGTACCTAGAACATTCCAGATCAGCCAATTCCAAACTCCATTAGTCTGAGACTCCCTTGATGCGAAAACGAATACTTAAGGTTCCTCAGACTATAAAAACAACTTAATCTGTGTCTTAGTAATTTAAAAAAATAAATTACTAATGAACTTTTGGACATCTGCAAAATTTATTCTCTGCTAAACCCTATGATTGTAATTTAATGTGACATCTTAGGGACTTGAAATAGTTCAGTAACTTTGTTACTGGCCCAAGTAAAACACTTCACGGCCACCTGGGGGGCTATGGCACCCACTCTGGGAAATGCTCTTCTAGAAAACCAGGTGCGGCTTGCTGCCACTTGTGGTATTAATGTTATAAAATTACAGCTACAGTTCACTTCCATCCACAGAATTTCCTACATATAAACATCCAGGAATTTGATATTTGTACAGTGGTTTGAATATTCCCAGTTCTGCTAACAGAGTTTCATTTGTCAGGTCCTAAGAGGCTGCTTGCTTTGATAGCGCTGCAAACAAGACTTACAGGCAATTACCAATGTTACTTACCTTCACTCAGAGATTAAGTGTTCCTAGCAGCTGCTGTCCAGTAGCCATAATGAGTGCTCTGATGTGGTTAGCATGTCCCACTTGCTGACAAATTTGAACATAACCGTGGTACAGTTTGTCCCAACCAGGTGGCAGCACTCTGCACATCTCCTCTAATGATAATGTCTGAGCTAGATAGGTCAGTATGTCTGCAACATGGAACCAAAAGATGTAATTTTTCATTCAGAACAATTAAAACAATCAAACCTGGCTGAAAATTCTACACATTACACATACGGTTTTTACAGGTGTTGTACTGTCACTTGTAGGGGGTACGCATGAGGAAAATAATGGGTTCCATTTTGGATTATTGCATTTATTGCCACTTGGTTACAAGTTTTCTTAATCACACTCAATTATAACACTGTCGCTATTCTCCACCCTTGCACACACACTAGCCGTCTCCTGGCAGTGGAACTCAACACACAAACTAGCACTTCAAATCACTATGAAGTCTTCTTGTTATTTCATCTTCAGTCACCCTGGAACCTCGAAACTCAACTAAAAACTCTCCCAGACAGCCTTCTTGGTTATTCTGGAATCTCTTTATAATTCTTTGGGACGGACTCCACAGAAAACACATGTCATGTGTCAGACTGTGAGTTCATTGGTCCGTTACCAGCACTGGGCCTGGCACGGACAACACAGAAATCACAGCCTCCTCTGTTGTTGCGTAACCTAACATGGGACTGTTTACTGAGTATCTGTCTTCACCAGAACTTGTTTACCAACCTATTGCCTAGCAATGGCTGTACATGTAACAGTATGAACACACTTCAACTGTTAACATTACAGACAATTTCGTTTGTGTGTTACCTATACTGTTCTCAATCAGTACTGTACTGTGAGGGGTGACTACTGAATGTGATACAGATTAAAAACACGTCCCACATCTGATCAGGAAATTCCAAGCAGCAGCATCACCCCCTGAAGGATGCGCTGTAAGAAAGCAGTTCACAGCCCTACACAGCAGCTGAGGGACTTACCTCATCATGAAATATGTACATTTCACTTTTCTTTGCAACTTTTAATTGATACATCTAGTGCTTTACACATGCAATGCGCACAGAAATGCATGCTGGTTTTCAGGCAGAGCATTTCTTATTGTCCAGTTTTAACCAAAAATTAGTACATGTCAACAAACTCCCCACTCACAAGTGTCATGAGAATCCATTCAGTGCTTCTTGGGTTGCTATGAGCACGCAGGCTGGAAAAAGTTAATTGTTGCGTCTCTATAACGTTTTGCTGTGAACATGCCAAAACAGATACCAAAGTATGCTCACCTCTGGTGACCTGTTGATACAAAGGCTTCAGCACAGTCTCATCTCCTAAGGTTTGTGTCTTTCTGTGAAGCAGCAACACCAAGCTCTTCCACTCTGTCTCACTGGTGAATCTGTCCTGCAATGTCATTCCCCAGTTCTCTACTATACATGAGAAAGCACAAAGCACAACTTTAACGAGAATTATATTGTAATGACGTGTTTCGTCTCTCCGGGCTTGTTCTTGCATTCTCACAATTCATGCACAGTTTTTCGGTGATCATTCTTGTCAGTTACTTTACAGTATTGTTGGTAGCAACAAATGGTAAGATGAATGGAAAGAATTTGGAAGGAAGCAGTCATGCATCACCTAACTGAGGCACTAACCTGGCATCTGCCTGGAGGGACTGAGGAAAATCAAGTAAACCATGTCAGGACAGCTTATGTCCTGGTCATGATTCAAACTGAGCACCTCCCAAACATAAGTTCAGTGTTACTGTTACAGCAACCTGCTTGGTCAGTTATTGTGGGTCCAGTCCAACCAAACAAGTATAAATTATCCCTTTCTTTTGCATATTTTGGTCCCATGATGCAACAAAAATCGCAGGGATGAGCTGCACCGTACGAGCACTATGGTCTCATTTGTTTCAGTGTGAGAGTTCACTGCACTGAGTGGTGCAATAGGAAAGCAAGTTAATGTAAGTGGCTATGCTTCTGACTTGTAGTCACAAAGTGCCCAGTTTGAATCTCGTCAAGACTGCAAATTAGCCTAAGGATTTTCACAGCTATGTTTAATCACTGCTATTGAATTCCAAGATAGCACCTACGCCAAACTGCCTGCCTCCACATCCTTTCCAAGTCACCATTCACCAATCATCCCACAATTTAACACCACAGAGTCTCACCTACAGACAAGATTATTAAATAAATCATAATCGTTGGTGTCTCCACCTTATCGCGGTGAGGGGGTTTGAGTATGCCAAGGACCCTGAGAGCTATACCACCGGCAGCGTACCTACTGGCAGGGCCTCTCTTGCTGGACAGGTCAAAGGGTAGGCATCAGACAAAGAGAGACACCATGTATGCAAACCAGAAGACGAGGAAGAGGACGTAAGAAGATGCTGGATGACTCTGGGGACAGAAGAGGATATTTTTATTTGAAGGAGAAAGCTCTGGATCGCATTAAGTGGAGGAACTGTTTTGGAAGAGACTGTGGACCTGTCGTCTGACAGATTACTGATGAATGAATGAAACAAATGAACAAATGAAAATGCAGTGAAATTTTTAGAAGTGACACTCCCATTACCTGAGCATAGTGGAGGAGAGCATGGGGGCAGAAGTCCAGCAGAATGTTTGTGCCCTCTCTGGGGGGCACACAGAGAACCTGGAGGCTCAGGTTTCCATGGAGCTGTGGGTGTGTGTGTACAAACTGGCGTACCTCACTCAGACACTCTGGGGGCAGCTTCCCAGAGCACAGCAGACACTGCAAGCGAACAGACAGTAGTGTGCAGACACACAACAGTGCAATTAGTATCACCAGAAACATCAACATCATACAAAAACTTCTAAAACCTCATCAAATTACATGTGGAGTATTATAGAAAGCAAATAAAGTTCCCAGTGCTAAACCACAATGTATGAATTATATTTTAAACAGACACTCACACCTGATGGTGAGACATGGACCACTACAAAACGAAGCAAATGCATAGGACAAGATAAAATGACAGTAACAAAACACGTCAGGCTCTGTGGTATGCTGTGAATTATGAGCATCTTATTATTCAGACAGACTGTAGCATACATCACACAGTGACCATCAGAAACCAGAGATGTTAATGCCAACTGCATTTCTCATTACTGTTCCACTGGCCTACATGATATGAGGTAATCCACTTTTTTAAGTGTGTGTAACAGTGGAAAGCGCCAGTGATGACATCACATCCTGTCAACCCTTAAAATCCAATGACAATTATATGTAGCACCTATTTTAAAATCAAAACACTATGCATTTTTAACACAGTGTATTTGTGTTTTGTATGACTCTCACAATATATTACGGTCATGTCCTGAACAGCATTAACCACCTGGTTTCTGTAATACAGATGCAGTGTGTTTCCTGATGAACAAACCGAATCCTTAAATATTAGTTAAACTTCAGGCTTTAAAGGGTTAAGCATTTATTAAGAAGCTGAACTGACCTGCAGTTTGAAGAGACTGTCACTGTTTGTGTTCTCACTATGTTTCGCTGGTTCTGTGTTCTCTGGTGTGGACCTCATACCTTCTTGCAAAGAGATAAGTCTTTTGGAGAGGTCAGCAGAGTATGGAGGCATTTTTCCAAGGAATGCCAATCGCTTTTCTTCAAAAAGCACCTACGACACCAGAACATATTATTCTTAGTGGGTTGATGACTGAGTCTATCAGCCCCAGCCGACAGATGATGGTGATGGTGGAGCAATTGGTGGAATGAAGATTGGCAGGGGAAACGAAGGTACTCGAAGTAAACCTGTCCCAGCACCACTCTGTCCACCACAAATCCCATGTGACCAGACCCAAGCTAAAAACGCAGGCTACCGTGGTGGGAAGCCATCAACTAACCACCTGAGATATGGGGCAGTTCACATCAAAACATGGAGCTTGGACAAAAGAGTCACCCTCATGCTATGTCAGCCAACAAAAGCAACTGGAGCCTCAGCATGGTTTAACTTGCAACAGCTGTTCAAATCTGCACACATAAATGTAACTTCCCTACCAAGGATCTACCATACAACATCAAAGATATTATGACATGTACTCCATGCTGTCACAGATATATACAGCAACCACGGCTGTTAAAGCGACGCTCAAGTACTGTGGCAGTTCTTGGGATGCGATTTGAATTCTTATTTCAAATCTTTCTTTCAACTGCTTGAATAAAGTTTAATTTCTCAGACTTTTATTGCTTCTTTGGAGTTTTATGTACTTCATATTATGGTACTGACAGGGAGAGTAACTACATCCAGGAGCAAGTCTCGTATTACTTACGTACAAATTCATTAATCAACCCCCCAGAAATACAGTGGAACTCATGTTTAGAATCCTTCAATTTTAAGTTTCCCCTCCTTCAACATTTTCTCTGTGCTGAATGTACTGTAAATTTTGCAGGCATATTTCGACCAAACAAATATCCATGTGACATACATTAACATGGCACTGGTCGATTTGTAAATATCCTTGCCACTTCTCATTATGGTGCATTTCTGTCTCAGTAAATATAATTTGATGGTCATATGAATGTGTTGTTATGTGGCGGTGAAGTTGTCCCTGTGCTTAATTAAGCATCACATCATGATGCTGGATGGGAGAGTCTGGCGTAACACCCTGCACCCATAACCTCACCACTAGATGGCAGGCAAACAATCATACTGAGGCTCCAATCACTTCACCTGACGAAGGAGCCCTGGCACCCACTGGACAGTAGGCAGGGTGGGGCCAAGGGCCAATATGGACATGGTTTCAAAGACAAACATCTTTGCCCCTGTCAGAGCCCACACCGAGTCACCATACAGCCTGAGCTGCCCTCAATTCATATTCAGTTGCACAACTGACTTCCATTTACTGTGGGTCCTGCTTGAACTGCAGAGATGGAACATTACTGAGGCACAAGGAAGTAAAACTAAAATAATCAGGCAGACTTTAGTGTCTCAGCAATGTTCACGTGAAGATGAAGCTTTGTCAGTGTTTTACCTTCCTCCTTGGTTCATCAGCCTTAACAGTCTGATGCTTCTTGTTCTGCTGGGCATTTGGGTTCTGTTGCCGCAAGTGACTTAAGTAGGATCTCACAAGGATCTTCAATGCCTCTACTGTCGTTATGTCATATGACGACACTGTGACATCACTGAAGTACCACACAAAGTACATTTCCATAAACTGTTGAAGTACGTGACTTGCTGCAGAGCCTGCGATGCCAATTCGAGATGGAATGTATTCCAAAAAAACCTGGAAAACACACGAATCCTTCAAGAAATCTGATAACTTTATTGAGCATTCTCTGCAGAGAGGCCATAAAATGAACATACAATGGGGAAGTTACAGCTGTCTATTCACATTTTTTATATCTGAAATTGTTCAACAGACTTTGATTAAAGTTGGTACCAGGGCCTGCAGTGAAATCTGCCACCAAAAATTCGATTTGGTTCACGCATATTCCACTGAGAAGAGATATTCTTCAGAATATGATGCTCACTCAGCTAGGCAAAAAATTCCCAAGTCTTTATACAACCATTTTCACAAGTGAAACTGGACCCCATTCTGAGCCAGACAAATCCAATTCACAACCAATTTCCTTAGTTGCATCTTAATTGTATCCCCTGTCTATGCCTAGGTCTTCCAATGGCCTCTACCTTTGAGAAAGCATTCTTGAAAATGAGCACATCACAGTGCTTAAATCACAGTCTTAGCTGCTGACAGCATTGTAAATAAGCCACAAACAAACACGCAGGTAAGAAACCTCGATATAAGAAATGACCCACAGAGCAATATACTCATATTCACTGAGGCTTTCAACATGACAGCTTTACTATTCTGACTGAAACAGCAAAGTTACTGTCCACTACCTGTAATATCTGCTGCAGTGTTGCAAACTGCGACACTGTAACCAAGCCTGCCAGCACATCAGCCAGCACTGCTGGTTTAGAGTCCATGAGAACAGATGCTAGTTCAGAGAAGCTAGGTACATTCTCTCTTCTGCTTGAAACTGCCCTCGAGTTTGACGTGCTGCACATGGGAGAATATACTGCATGGATGTCTGCGGGTGATGCCTCAGTAACAGGCGGATACTGCTGTTCCAGTAAGAGCGTAGGATTATCCGACAAGAGGTTGGTGAGACTGCTGTGTGAGAGCGAGTTCAGAACTGCAACAGCTTGCTCTGGAGAACCGCGCTGAATACAGAGCAGCACTAGCGCCAAGGCATCCGAAGCAGCCGGAACAGCCCTACACACAACATGTCTTCATATTATGTTACTCAGTGATGCTAGAAGTTTTGGTATACACTGCAGCAACCATGTTCAGGATAAATCACCAACATACATATATAGCACTGTATAGTAACCTCCTCCATCCTTGTTAGGTTGTTAAAACTGTTTAATGCCTCCATCTTCAGATCCACCTGAACACTGGTACCAACCTTCCTGATTATAAAATGCTATCATGGCCCAGAAGACCACAATATGGATGTCACCACCATGAAAACCACAAGCCTTTTCAACTTACAGCATAACTGAATATAACCACATCAAGGCCATGGAAATATGTCCCACTGATGGCACATGAAGCCCGAGGTTTGCCCACTATGCCTGTTCCCCTCAAGCCCCCAAGAGTGCAAGGAGCTTGCCACTAGCAACATTCCTGAATACGATGGGGTACCCAAAAGAAACCAAACTAATATTTTTGTGGGCAGAGCTTTTGTAGTACCGCGTTTTGCCGCTATGAGCGCATAGAGCTAACATTCCTGAGTCGATAAGCCAATTACCGTTGCTTCAGAAGGTAAGGACTGGTTTCGGCAGAGTTTATAGTGACAACTGTTTTGTGTGACTGTCGTTTTTGCAATGGCTGATTTTCGTGAACAGCGTGCGGCGGTGAAATTCTGCTTTTTGCTCGGGAAAAGTGGAACAGAAACTCTTGAAATGTTAAAAACGGCGTACAAGGACGATGCTATGGGGGAAACTCAAGTGTTTGAGTGGTTTTCCTGTTTCAAAAATGGTGAAATGTCAATTGATGCCTCGTTCTG